ATCAACAATGAGTGATTTTGCATTGTCCTCAACGTTGGAATGGACGATCGATCCCCTTTATTTATCGAAATATTTCTCCCAATTATTATGAGCATTTTGAAATAACGGTCATGTTTTCATAGTAGGCGTTAAAATTAATGCTAACATGAATAATTTTGTAGACAGTGGACTAAACCAAAGGTGACGCTCCGCTCTATTTTTTACTTTGTTTTTAATTTTATTCCTAATTTTTATTGTGCAGAAAAAAATTCCATCAAAATGTTCCCTATTTTCGCCGGAGTTATTTTTTTTACAAATTCGTTTAAAAAATATATCTTTTCCTTTCATTGTATACTTTGTACTGCGCTATATTTTATTGCGATAAAAATGTTTTCTTTCATGATATCCATGGTATAATAATAAGGTAACAGCAAGTGTTGTTGTACAAAAAATGATACAACAACCACATGGAAATTTGTTATTGTAAGTTAATATTTTTTCTGCAATATTAAAAATCGTACTGTTGACATCCATTACGTTTAATACCATAGTAGAGATCATAATCATTTATTTCAGATAGCCCTGAAACATTAAATCGCTGTACTGCAGATGTAATATTGTCCTGTTCAGACGGTATGGCTTTAAAATAACGTGTGTGATCTTGAAAGTAAGGACATAATGTTTGCTTTATTTTAACAATCGAAACAGGCGGCGGGGGAGGTGGAATGGACTGTGATGGTGAATCGGAATCTAATATATCAACACTGTTGCCCAGCGAAGAGCTCAACATGTTGTTTGGTTCATCATATATATTGTCCATGTGAGAATTTAGTATGGAATCGCTTGAGTATAGATGTTTGTTCATATTGTAAATTTCCTTTTCTGGTATTTCATCACTCAACATATAGTTAGCGCTGATCAAAGTGTTTTCATCGCAAACATTAACGTTTCCAATCGTGACTATACTCAAGTTGGTTGTATCGGCGCTACTGTGGTCTTTCAAATGTTCGAATGATGATTGTGAAGAAGTCCAACGTCTTAAACTAGTTACAGGATTCTTTGTCATTGACCGTACCAGCGTTGTTTGCGGCGAGTCTTGAAATTCGGGCGGAGGATCAATGGGAGCCAACGGTCCCTTCTTCAGAGTGTTAAAGTTTTCGGCACTCATTCCACCTTCTGAGCAATTATCCAGCGAATCAAACTGGGACACCTCTCCATCACTTTCAACAATCTACAAAGAGGGAACAACATGTTATAAGCTGTGTTGTGTGATATAAAAAAGCCACCCTCAGTACCTCAATGTCGAACTTGCATAGACCCAGCCGGTAGGAATCACCGCTAGATATAGAACTGTTGGTAGTGAGGGGCACGCCAGAATCATCGCTGAGAGAGGCCGCAGCGTTCAATTCAATGCTGTTAGTACTGGTCAAATCATGGTGATGTGGTGGAAACATTGAAAAACTGTCGCTGCTGCAAATTCCAGCTATAACAGAAACTGTTGCCGATGCGTTATTAGTATTATCTTTACTTTTTACTGTAGAATCCATTATTAGTCGTTCGCATTCACCACTGGTCTATGGGAAAAAAATACCTATTACTCTGCGTTACGATATCTAATTTCTTTTTATTTAATGATTAAACATTACTCATATTACATACAAATACTATAAAAATTAGAAATATATTTGACTATTTATCAACTGTGAAAGTCAGTTTTTTTGCGTTTACCGGTTTACAATTTCAACTAGTTCTTAAGGCGTTTTAAACAACAAATTCTCATTTTTGTAGTTATACATATGTATATATGTTTGCCTTTACATCCAAAAAAAATTAAATAAAACATTTTTCATTCCGGGATACTTGAGTTGCTCGCTCCCGGCCTCCAAAAGAGAATACACTAGTTTTTTTATTCGCTCATCTCGCAAAAGATAGCACCCACTAACACCAACCAACGATCAGAATCAAAAATGTAAACACTCGTGGTCAGGTACATACACGTATGTGTTTATACATAAAATGAATGAACACAATTCGACTTTATTGCCTCAAATCAGAATATACTTGTGGTCTTTTTGAATTTTTTTCTTTTTATTATATTCCCTGATATTTTCGAGACACGTGAACTGTCTGTAAGGGTTAAATTAAAAAGTGCTACACCGACCGACCGACAGCCGACAGGATTCTACAACAAATCACGCCCATTAAGATGATGCTACGCATTGTTATCGTTCGCCAATATATGTATAAGTGTATAACTGTGTGTACATAGGTATATATAGTAAATATATATATGTATTTATATATACGTGGAGTGTACATAGGTATACGGTATTGTACAAGCGTAAATTTTGTGTACATATATAAACTAAAAAGAAAAAAATTGCCGTACTTTTTCGTCGCGGATTCAAAGTAGAATAAAATCTGATGCCGTCATATTTGACTGATGCTTCGAAATTTGTACCAAGTGCCCGTCCATTTCACTCATTAGCGTTTATAATAAACTTAAATATTTTCATGACTCTTAATGTGCGTTAAAATATTTTTTACTATATATCCATAGGTTTCTTGATTTTCACTATTAAATGATAGCAGTAACTGAGTCGGTCGTCAATATCCAATCGATATTTTCGATAATTGAAATAGATAGCAAATTTATCGATTGTGTCCGATGACACCACAGGGAAATAACCTGGAAATGATAACATATTGCGAAGTTTGTAAAAAGTTATTATTTGGGAGAGTACACACTATCAGTTTTGTATGACAGTTAATTTCCCTCTTCCCGTACTGCATGAAACTACTAGATTTTTAGGGGCCCCATACACTATACATCATGCCGTACAGCATTTATCATAGTATGAGTTATTTTTTGAAAGTTTATTTATGTATGTGTGACACACACAATGCATGAAGAAAATCAAAATAGTTTTGATTTTGAAAATGATCCCCTATCTGGTGAATAATATTCATTTTGAAAGTTGTCAGTAAATAATTTTGTGTACAAAAATAATAAAATTGTGACGGAATAAAAAACAACTGAATTTACGACTCAAAATGCAATTTTTGGGACAAAAATCGATTTTTTGGAATAGTGATTGAAGAGTTTACCATACACTAGTCAATCTCACATATACAAAAAGGGGTTCATCGGCATGACGGCATGAATTATAGTGTATGGGGCCCTTTACAATTTTCTTCGATATCGTAAACGAAAGTTCGTTATCGTAGTAAAAAGTAATAGATTCTTGCAGTACAAAGGAAAAGACCCATGACATACTGCAAGAATGTACTGTTTTTTAGTACGATAACAACTTTTTCTTTATGATATCAGAAAAAATAGTAAAAACTAGCAGGTTCTTGCAGTACGGGAATAGACCAATAATTATACACGGCAGTCTCATGTAGTCATATGATTCCATTTTTTCATAAATTAACTTTTGACAACATTCAGCTTTCAAAATTTAAATGAAAACATCGTTCTTTCAAATGTGTTTTTGTTTGGGAACGCAAATTTAGTAAATATGCCAAAATTAGATGGCAATACATCAAATACTGTTTACCATTTTTACTCGGACAAATTTTACGAGAAAAAGTTGTTTGGTTCAATGTTGTACCAGTTTTACGGGTTAAGAAACGGTTTACGAATAAAAAGTTGCAAAACTTTTAAAATTTGTAGATTATTTTTAGGTTGTGGAACGGAACTATATTATACGGAATTCTATACGTGTCACAATAAATAGTCCAGAATACATAGTTTCAATTTGTATACGACTTGTACCATGGCACAATAAATAGGTATTCCATTTAGCGCAGCTGATGTCTCGATTAACTGTCAAAGTGCGTAATTCCTACTTGAATTCGATGTGCAATGTTGCCAGCCATGTGAAATATTATACGGAAGAATTTGACAGATGGTCGAGACAAAACCAAAGTTTGTTGTTGTGATACATCATATTATTACTGCATAATGATTTGTACTGTTGCCAAACATGAGAAATATTAATTGACGTGTTCCTTTATTTTTTCACAAACATATACTCAGGAACTTTTGTTGCGAATGTTAAAATTTTAAGGAAAAAAATTATTTGAAATCACAGCTGATCTTCAAAAAATTATATTTTCCAATAGTATATAAAAATTATTTCTAATTTTAATATTTTATAAAATTTTTTGGCACAAATATGGATAATTCGCATCTTATTATTAATCCATCCACCTCTCGTGAAATATTGCACTTTGATGTATTAAGGGAACCATAACATTTTATGTATGTCGATTGGCATATTTTCAACAAATTAAAAAAATACATTTTTTCTAACGCTACACATTGTTCTGAAGATTCATAGGATTTGTGAACCCCTCAAAACGAGAAGCATGTAATTATTATTTTTGTTGTTTTTGCGTGCAGCAACTATTGAAAATAATTGGTTTGTTCCCGTTTTTAAAATTTATATTCAGGAACAGGACAAATCATGGTATAATAATAGAAGGTAACAGCAAGTGTTGTTGTACAAAAAACGATACAACAACCACATGGAAATTTGTTGTTGTAAGTTCTACTAGTGTCAACTCATTTGACAGAAAAATGTAAACAAACAAACAAACAAATTATCATCAAATTATTTTTATTTTGAAAATGAAATATTTTCGAATCCTCAAAATAAAAATTGAAAAACATGAATGAAAATCTTTCAAAGTTATATTTCTATCGCTTCCACATCTTTCCTATAATTGAGCCATTGCCACATATATGTGTAACACATATGAAAATGCCGGGAATAGCGAGTTATTCCTTGAAGAAAGATTTGCTTCCTGAAACTTTCCCAGCAGGCAGATTGAGTAAATTCAATACGGGAGCATATTTAATAAAGAACAATTTCAAATTGTATGCGTTCCCAATTTTCCTGTTGGGTGATTTTTAAAAACATAATTTGTCAAATTCATATTGACGCTAGTTTTACGTTGGAATCAAATCAGCTGGGATTTGCTGTTACCTTTTATAATTGTACCATAAGGACAAATGATTTTTTCAGTTATAAGGGTCGTACCTAAATTCATACGTATGCGTACGAATTTATTCACCTCAAAAGTTAAATACATGTATTTAATGTCATGTACAGACGAGCGTTGTTCGCTCTCTCATTCGTTGTCCGACCCTTAATTATGAAGTAATTACTTAGTTCCCCATACAAAATTGTCTGAGCGAACACCGACTTTTGTACGTTGTTCAATTCGAATCACTCTCTGAATCACCAAGAGTTTCGTCCCATCTCTAACAATTGAGAGAATTTATCGAAAATAAATTAATTTTGACAGCATGAAAAAATTTTCAAACATTTTCAGTAAAATTGAAAATGATGAATGAAAAGTAACCAAAATTCTAGTTTTTATATATTTGCAGAAGGATGTAAATTTTGTTGTCTACATAATGCAATATGCATTTCTTTCCCCTTGGTTCAAATTAGCGTACAAAACACAAAAGTGGGGAAACCCAAACAAAAATTCTTCAATTTTTTAAATGTGACATTTGAGTTGAGAAAATATTAAAATGTATTGAAAACAACAATATTTTCAATATTTAGAAGGTAACCTTATCAAGGCAGCTGATGGTAACATTATATGTCATAGCAATTTGTTGTTGTTTGTCCCAATTTATATTAGACGAGTTTAATTGCGGCAAGTCTTTGTTTGAAGGAGAGAGGGGCAAGGGGAATAGAACTTGAACAAAATTGCTCGTACCGACAATTTTCTGGCAATTCGTTTTGTGAATTTTGTTTGTAGTATCAGTAATTTAAAATACCAATCCAGAACATTGTCAAAAAAAAAATATTTTTGAAATCGAATTGCCTTGTATAGAGGAATGAAGCTAGTTCAAAAGAGAACGATAAAAGTTGCCGCAAGTAAACTCGCCTAATATAAATCAGGATTTTTTTTTCAAACCCTATTTTAAATGAAAATTGTAAATACTTTTGGATATAAAGAACAAAAAGATAGAAAATAAAAGGCATAGCGGAAGGCCTTGGAATCGAAAAGAAGATTTGGTTCGATGGCCCTTTTTTTCTCCTTTGTATAATATTGGTTTTCAAATTTCATGGAAGGGCATACAAACACTACGGAAAAAATAGTCCAAATCTTGTTATATCTCCATACATACGATTACATTTAAGGCGTACTTTTGATGTATCTTTTAAATTTGATGTATCTTTTAAAATTGTTCAAAAAGTAAACAAATATTTTTCAAAATACTTCATTCTGATTGGTTGAAATTATTTTGCTTCGAGTTTTGTATGTCATGGCGAAATTGGCTCTGTCTGTTAACACGATATTTTGTAACAATTGTTACCTTATGTTACTAAATGTTGTCTTTTTACACAAAAATCCAGTAAAAGAGAGTCAAGTGAGAGAGCAAGTTTGACAGTTGAACAACAACAAAGTTGATGGAGTTTACTGAAAGAATTTTATTCAGTAAGATTTTGCAACTCAGCCATTTTCTGATCAGCT